GCGGAGGGGTGGGGGCCCGCCGGAGGGGGTGGCAGAGGGTCCAGCCCACGCTGCCTCCTGGGCTGGGACTGGTCCCGCCAGCGCAGGGTAGCAGGAAGCTCTCCACACACTCACCAGACCTGGAGTAGGACTGGGTCTGGGAGTTCCTGGAAGTCGGCAGAATTTCCTACTCGGCAAGAGGGGTGGGGAGGTACGGCAGAGTGGTGTGGGGCGGCCCAAGGGGGTGGGAGAGGGTCCGGCCCACACTGCGCCTTGGCTGGGACTGGTCCCGCCGGCACAGGGTAGCAGGAAACTCTCCGCACACTCACCGGACCTGGGCTAGGACTGGGTCTATTTATTTATTTTTTTGAAAGAGGTTCTTACTATGTAGTTCAGGCTGGTTTGAACTTACTGTGTAGCACCTGATGTCCTGGAACTCATGGCAATCCTCCTGCCTCAGCCTCCCAATTGCTAGGATTACCAGAGTGAGCCACCACACCCAGCAACTAATTTGTTTTCTGTGGGCATTTTTCCCCCTTTATTTTCTTTTCATTATTTCTATTTTTTAAAATACATTCAGTGGTCACATATCTATAAAGAATGCAGCAGGATTTGTGCAGCCCTTCTGGCCTCTAGCATGAGTCCCCCTGTGCCCTGGGGAACCCCAAAAAGCAACAGTCTATGGAAGAGCGAGTTTTAGAGAAGTGCTACATGTACTACTTTAGTTCTTTATAAGTTCTAGAGAGCAGACCTCTGTGTGAGTATTTATTTGTCAAGATTTTTTCAAAATTTATGGGTTGCTTTAGAGAACACAGAGGGGAAGACGAGCTTACTGCGGACCTTTCTTTTAAAAAAAATTCATACGCTTCACAGTGCGCCTATCAGACATGAGAACAAGAGCTTGGATACATCCCCAGCAGGCTGCGGGGAGGTCAGTGTGGTCCCCTGGCCTCACCTGTCCTTGGGCATGTGGTGGGGTAGGTGCTGGCATGGGTTGGCCTCCGTGGATGCCTTGATCCGGTCCCTGTAGTCATAGCGCAGCTCCTCCCTGACTGCAATGTCACAGGAGGAGATGAGGATGAGGTATGGCGCTCTTTGGTGTCCTGCAGCTTGGTCTGGTAGTTCCCACACTTGCAGTTCCCACATCAACAAGCCCAGGTGGTTTGTCTCCCTTGTGGCCTCTACGCAACAGGTTTTGCTGAGATACTGAAAGTAGTACATGTAGCAGCCCGTGGAGGGGTCTTGTGCGTACAAAGCCTCTCGCTACTTGGCATCAGTGATCTCGATGAGGTCCCCATGATACTCTACCACGAAGTCACCCTGGGAGAACTGCTTGGTGGTGATCCCACCCCTGCCTTTGAAATCGATGAGGTCGATCTTCATGCCTTCCTCCTTCCTGCTGTCCATCACCTCATCGATTTGTTTCCTTTCTTCCAACTGCAACTCGGCTTTGCTCTTCCTGGAACTGCTTCAACAGCGTAGAAGCTCTTGAGTTTGAGATTCTGTTGTGTTTTTCCTTGAGCTCTTTTTCAAGGTACCTGTTTGCTTTTGAGAGGCTTTTTCAGGGCTTGCTTGGTGATGGGTGCATTTGGTAGAATTACAAGACGAGGCCAGAGTTTTTGGAGGTTCTGCTGCCTCAGATTTTTGGTTTGGAAAAGGAGCCAGGGCACCTTTCCTGGTGTCTTTGAGTTTCTATTCCTCGGACTTCACAGTGCTTATATCGTGTTCCCAACATTTATTTTCTCTTCTCGTTTCCTGTAGATCCCAGCTAATGGTGTTCCCTGGCGTTTGACTTCATGATGTGCAACTGAGGTCTCTTCCTGAAGGGGATAACGCACTCTAGACGATTTATTTGGGCTCATGTAGAAATAGATCTTTGCCTGGCAAATACATTCTCCTGCAGCCAGGCCAGGCCCAAGGTGGCTGTGCCCCGACACCTCGCCCTGTCACCTCCGCCACGACCTGACCACCAGCGCTGTCCTTGATGCCGCCGCCACCACCACCAGTGCCACAGCAGGGACCCCTGGCTGTGGACGCCCCACTCCACTCCCTGCCCTCGTGGCATACCAGGCCCTGTCAGAACCAAGTGCGCCTGCAGCTCCGCCCTGAACAGGGGAAGCAGGAGGCAGGCCGGAGAATATATCTTATGGGTCAATTAATAGAAATCATTTTAAATAAGTGTCAGAAAGGAAAAAGAAACTTTTACATTTCTGAGGCAAAGACTTTTTTTGTTTTGTTTCATTATAGGAAGCTAAGCTTCATAGAAATTAGCAGAGATGGACTGGTCTCACAAAGAAATTAGTACAAAAATAAGGACCTCAGAGCTGTGGCTGGAGTTCCATCTAAAGAAGGCCAAGTATCAAGACAAAGAAGTCAGGGCCAGGCCTAGTCACAAACCTTCGAGATAAACAGTAACTTGAGATTATACCATCATTGGTACCACCTGGTCCCACATGTCCAACTAGGCATCAGTAACCCAGTTCTGGTAGCAGAGCAGCTGGACCTGTCCCTTACACAAAATGCTGTTCTTCCCACGGAGCCTTGCTACATGACCTCCTTCCCTATTGTATGTATGTTAGCTAAAAAGCAGTACTTGTAATCCTACAGGTTGGCTGTAGTGTGACCTATGCTGCACCCTCAGCGTGACTTTGCTGTATTTCTTTCTCTGGACTGGCAGCCCAACTTCAGGATCCCTTGTATCTCTCAGGAACTATCTCTTAATAGAACTCTCCTACTCCTAACCTCTGCTGTTCCTTGGAATTTCTTCTTTGAATTTAGGCTACATAAACTCAGTGTATCTGACTTCTAAAAGTCATAGAGTTATATTTCTTTGATAATGTTGCCCTTAAAAAATATATTTACTTGTTTTTACAAAGTAGCAGAACAGACATTTAAAAAGTGAATATGCACAAAAATGCAGACACAAATGAGGAGTTAGGCAGCTCACCCTGTGAGACTGCCCTCTGAGTCCAGCCCTCATGGAGGAAGCCTCCCTCATATAGCACTTGCTCATGGCTGACTCTGCCTGTGGATTCTATGCTGTGGCCACTGTCACTCGCAAACTAGATTCCCACTCTGTTTTATTCTCTCTGAGCATAAAGAGGCCCCAACCGAAGACCTGGTCCCCAGAAAAGCCCACAGTTGTGGTAATGTACAAAAATAGTAGGGTTTTAGTTTGAGGTTAACTCTTGCTTGGCAGGCCAGAGTCAGAGAACAAACCCAGTGTAGCATACCTGGTACAGACAGAAAGTTTGTAATAGGCTCCATTTGGGAGGGGGGTAGTTGAAGACTAAGCCTCAGTATATGCCTACTTTGGGATGCAAGTGCTCCTCTCCCATGGCCTTTGCCCACTGTGTTGGGAAACCAGGTCCAGCCAGTGTGGCTTTCAGAGCAGGCTCAATCTGAAAGTGTTGGCCTTAAGTTCAAACATCTGCTTGAATCCCTATTCTATGGCCTACATTGAGCAAATACCACAGGCTTGACTGCTTTTCCTATTATTGTCATGAGAAAGACCTAGTTTTGTCTTGGACAGCTGCCACAGACTGAGGTGTATGTGCAGAGAGGCTCCAAGAGAAAGGAAGCTACCTGCCAAACAGGTAGGTAGGTGTGGTTAGGTAGAAGAAGTTGTACCTTTCTGGGTTCCAGTACCCCAGATATAGCAATAATTCATTCACCCAAAATCACTGAAAGATGCTTAGATTTCTTGATGAGAAATTACACCTTTTTGTTTTCTATTCCCTGTGCTATTTCTGGTAGGGTGACTTATTCTCTTGCAATTATTTTTCTTCTTTTTTTCTCTTACTGTTTTCACTACTGGCTTTCTTGTTTTTCTTTTGTGTTTCACTTCATTTTTTTCTCTCTGTGCTTTCCCCTTCCTTTTCTTCTTCCATTTCTTTTTATGTTATCTAACTCAATTAATTTCCTTTTACTCCTCAATACAATGCCCTATCACAATTTGTCTCCTCCTCATATTTCCTTTATCAATATTTCAAATTTTACTTTTTTCATTCCTGCATCCCCACTCCTTCCATTTTTTTTCCTAGAAAACCATTTAGTTTTTTGATTCTTTATATAGCTATCCCTATAACATTACTACGAATACTGTTATATTGCTAATACAGTTGAAATTGTTTCACTAGTTGATTTTTTGAGTCAATATTTGGTTAGTCTTAGTGTTTACTGCATATTTATAGATCCTCTTTGTACTGTTAAACCTGGTACATTACTTATTCTTAGGTGATATTGCATATAGTTTGACTTCAATACCATGGTTGGTGCTGATTTTATAGCCCTGATGACATAACTCTTTCTGATGATAAGATTTCTCTGTATTCCAGCATCTGGATTGCCTTTGTATCATTAACAGTATTGTCATCTATTCCAGAAAAAATGGGTACTGTGCCAGAAACACTGCAGCATCTCCTTCCAATAAACACAGCTGTTTACACCCAGAACTCGGTTGTTTTCTTGATCTCAGAAGGACTTAAGTCTCACAGAGCTGGCTTGGAATGCTTCAGATATCCAGGACCCAAAGACCTCAAGTCTCTTGGGTATGCAATGGTGAATATTTCTATACAATAATGCTGGAATATTTTTTCTTGCGAGAATTCATCATTTTCCATGTTTCATGATACCCTCCTCTACCTACCACAATGTAGGCAGCCACCCCAGATACCGTTTTTAAGAAGGTTTCTAGGCAGATGATTTATCATTCTGGAATTGTCAACTATGCAGGCTTCTTGCTACTTCTGAAGCCACTGCTGATTGATAGTCACAGTTGATGGCCAAATCTGTGATTTTCTGAGCCTCATAAGTAACTGTTCCACCTACAGGTACATGCCATATAAGTTAATATCAACTATTGCATTCTCAGGAGCTCAGGCCAGGTAGGATGTAAGAAAGAGACAAGAGGACTATCATTGAGCTCAGTATATCTCTTCTTCCTAGTAGTGCAAGAAAAAGAACTGCTAAGGCTCCAACTTGCCCTTTGACACTCAGTACTTTCTACTAATTTTGACTACAATTTTTGACTACAAAATATGTAAAAGAGTGGCATTTCTTAATGCTGCTCTGTGCTGCTGTGTTGCTGGCTGGCTACATGGCCTAAGAGACTTGGGAATTAATTTAGAAAGCTTTTAAATGACTAAGTGGAGAGGCAGCCCCCACATGCTATAAGATATTCTCTGTGGGGTAGAACAATCTTGATATAGCCTGTCGTTGTGATTTCTTTTGCTCAAAGATACTGTGTGGCTGTATGATCAAATATAAGTGGAAGCCTGGGATATCATTCATTGCCCTAGGGACTACCTGGTATGCACATGGTCCTGATTTTGTTTCCCAGTAGAAAAAAATTAAAATTAAAATAATTTTATTTACAAATATTCTGTGAATATCTAAATTTTAGGATTGAAAACAAACAGTAATTTTAAGTTCAAAACATTCACATATAAAGTACAGTACTTATAAAATGTCATGATACTTTACTCTTTGTACAAATCAATGTTGACAATATTCAAGAAAAGTTTTCTTTTTTTGAGACAGTCTTGCTATGCATCTTTGGCTGACCTTCAACTTGCAAGAAGCCTCTTGCCTCCGAGCCACTACTGCTGGGATTACAGGAATGCACCAAATCATAAGGCTGTTAACTACATTCATAATTGTCCTGTTGATGTTATTATTTGTCCTATGTGTAGTTACTTGTTTCTTGGCTGTGTGTTCTCCACACTTATTATTCTACACTTGTCCAAGATGTAAATACCTGCTGTCTTCCAGGGCCTTTATATACAACATGGGGAGTTATCTTTGACTGCCAATCAACAACTATGATCTCCTTCAGTTTGAAGAAAACAGAGCAGTTATTGCCCATGGTTCCTTCATGGCATGACAGGTTACTTCTTCAGAAAGGGTAAATTGTAGGGAGCTTAGTTAGAAATATCTACGCAATCAGACAGCTCTGGGTCTTCAAAGGATCCAGTGTGGAAGAGGAGATACCTCGCAACTGTGGGCCAGAAAGGCACCTCCACTGTGGCCAGATGTCAAGATAAAACATTAAACAAATACACTAAGGATAAATATTTGTCACTAAGGATAAATATCAGAGGTTGATATTCCTAATAGGCAGGAATTAACTTGAAAAAGCTAGCAAGTGTCACCCAAAGCCCTAAAAGAAAAGCCTTTATCCTGTTTTCATGCGACTTGTTATGTGACTGGCTTCCCCATTTCACACTGATTTCATCAATTTTATCTGGGAAATTGTACTTTGAAATCGTATTGCTTCACCTTAGTTTTGTCCCACCACATGTCTGTATTTCAAGTTTCCATTTTATACTTTCAACTAGTCTTACCTGATGCTTTTGCTATATAAAAATGTCTAGAAAAGACAAGTTTTCTTGGTAACCCACTCAGGTTTCCTTGTGTCCCTCTCTCAGATAGAAGTTTCTTTAACCCC